AGTTATATAATCTACATTGCATAATCTGTTTTTAAGGATTGAAAGTGGCAGAGTTTAAAGATACTGTGACCAGTGCTCTGGCAAAAACTTGTCTGCAGTTTGATTGTTGTTCTCAAGTGGGTCAGAGGAGAAAAATGTGCTAAGTGCTTTCATTGCTTTTTCCACACAGACTCATGATAGTAAAGAACACCTGGCAATGATGGAAAGAATACTGGGGCCTCTGCCCACTCACATGATCAAGAAATCCAGGTATGTTCATTGTAGAAGTGGTAAGTTGCCTAATATTTCCTCTCACAAGAGAAATTGCAAAGTTGCCATTGTAAGCTATGAGTTGCTTAAGTAGTTGACAGTAGTCCTCTTTTCTGATTTTAGTATGAATTGTCAGCCTCTTGAACTGTAACCTGAGTATGAATATTTCTAAGTCTTTAAAGCTAAGTTTGGTATGGTCACCAGAACAGTATTAGGCATAAATTTTTCGTTAAACTCTCAGAATGAAGAGCATGTTGTCATCACAATAATTATTACAAGGAAGAAAGGGTTCTTGTTTGCTAATACAGCTGTCATCCTCTTCTACTGCCCCTCCGTATCCCTCAGACATGTGCTTCAGTGATCTTTCTCTCTGCCTCAGAGATAACTCCATGCAGCAGAAGTTTCCCACTTCCATGACAAGGAGAAGCAGCCAGCACAGGGTTTTCCCCTGACCCCTTTATGTCCAAAATTTAGAGGTCCTGGGATCTGATGGTCCATTTTCTTTCTTACATAAGCTGGCCTATTCCTAGGCTATGTAGATAACTCTGTAATTTGTTAGAGTAGAATTCCAATAATTCTGTGTTGGTCAATGTATATTGCTTGTTGTCCAGTTGATTGCATTTTGAAAACCAGGAAAAAGCTTGCAAAGCAGCAATTGCAATAGATTGAAGTAACACCAAAAAAAAGAAAATCTACTGTTTTCTAAGTATTGTGGCAGCAATAATAAAAAAGAAGCAGATCTCTGTGAATAAATACACACTAAAAGAAGTGTTAGCTCCCAAATGCAGAGATACATGCAGGAACACTTAATGGTGTTTTAAAACTTCTTGGAAAAGCATCTGCTTGCTGTGTGCACTGACACCAACTTACTGTTATTGCCCTTGTCCCGCAGAAAACATTATTTTCACCATGACCAGTTGGACTGGGATGAGCACAGCTCTGCAGGCCGCTACGTCAGGAGACGCTGTAAGCCTCTGAAGGTAGGAGACAGCATTTTTATTGCTCTGCTAGACTGCAGTTGTGAAGGCTCTCTCTAAAATGCCTCCTGGTTTTTTTGTTTTTTTTTTTTTTTTTTCAGGAATTCATGCATTGCCAAGACACAGATCATCAAAGTCTGTTTGACCTTGTTCGCAGAATGCTGGAATACGACCCAGCCAAAAGAATTACTCTTGATGAAGCCTTGCAGCATCCTTTTTTTGATCCACTAAATAAATAAATTCAAATATCTTCTATGCTTCTTCAAGGAGATTTCCTAGACTGTGTCAGTCAGTCAGCAGAGGTTGCATGAAACTTTTGTAAGCTTTAAATTATTTTGTACAGTTAAGTCTGTAAATAATTACATATGTTTTGTATAACTGTTATGTTTACCTTGTTGAGCAGTTGTAGTCTTATGGGTATCAAAGTGAAAAATAAAGTAATTTTCATTTTTGAAAGCCTGCACCACTCTCCTTTTACAGATGATGCTCGTGGACCCTCTGACTCTAGGTGAGGAGTCTGGGCTAGCTGAAGGAGTTCTAGAAGCATTCCCTAAAACTTCCTTTTATTACTCTTGAAGAAAGACCTCCCTAGTTAATGCTCTATGTAACAGTCTGATGGCGTTTTGAAACATGCGTGGAAACAGTATATATCCTAAGTAGGTAGCTTTTGTGGGTCACCTTTTTCCCAGATTTTCTGGTACATAGCATGCATTGCTCCCCAGACAGCTAATTAACTCTTGGAAACTTGTCTGATGCTTTCAGTTTCAAATATTCATAGCTAATCTTTTTAGTTAAGATCTGTAAAGTAACATTTCCTATTTTCAATATTGCTTCAAGTCATTAAAGGTGAACATTTCTGTGGTACATTTTTAGAAAGACTGTACTGCTGCAGAGAAATATGGCATGCCACAGATTTGCGGCATATTTGATGCCTTAAACAGCTGGAACAGAGGCTAGAGAGTCTTTCCAAGACCCATTAATGTGCTTTGTTACTCTTGGTGCTTCCATGTCTATAACTTGATGGTTTTTACTCCAACTCCCTTAATCCATCTGACTCTCTATGGGTGGCTTGCTGAGCAGTAGAAAAAGGGAGCCTTCCATGGAAAAGTTCATTCTGACTGTAATAAGCAAGTTTTGGCTATTTATTTTAATCTTGACTTTACTGTTCAAGCCTTTCTTCAAAGGAAGGAAACTAAATTGTTTTGGCTTCACAGGAGCAAGACTTCAGGTTTTGTGTTTGCTGAGTTAGCCCTAATACACAGTAAGAGTTTTAAACTGATGTCGAGGAGGCTTCATTTGCAAGAGGCTCCAGACGTGCATATCTCTGAGCTGGGGATAGAATAGAGCTGGGCCAGGCTTTGAAAGCTTATCTTCTGTTACTAGTGCCACCTCCTGGGCTTGATTACAGCTCATCACAGCCACCTCCTTTCCTTGGATGTTGGTGCTGGTGACATTGTTTCTGCTTGGCATGACAGAAAATGTAACAGTCTGTGCCGTGCAGGTCAGCTCAGTAGGGCTGAGCAGGACAAGAGTAAATTCCTTCTCCCCACACTTTCCATCCCACAGCTTCAGAGGCAAAGCAAGGACTTGGCTGAGTGTATCAGCTAAGCAATGCAAATCAAAGGCAGATGAGGGGAGAAAAGTTTATATGCTGCTATAACAATAAAACTGTAACCATAAAACAGTTCTATCGAAATTAGGGAAAGATGGTGTGCTCTTGCTTACAGAGTGCTTCTAGCTGTTGATATAGGTACTGAAATTTGTAGTGCTGGGTAAAGGAGATACAGCTAAGCCCTATTAATAAGCCATCTTTAAATTGACTTTCCGTGTTCCAGTAAATTTAAAAGCGCTATCAGGATCAATGTGGCGCCTGCAGCAAGGTGCCAAGTGCTTCTTCCGGCCTTGCAGCATCTACACAGTGTTGGTTTGCTGGCACATGAGCCCAAGGCCCCTGGGCTCCCCAGGGAAGCTGTGTGAGACTCTTGGCAGTATCTGGGGCTGCAGGGCTGCCCTTGGTGCTTCTGTCTTTTGTAAGGGATGGATTTTTATGTGCACACACCTCCACCCCCCATTGTCATCTTCATACTTGAAGTTTGTAATGTTTGCACGTTTGGATCAAGTTATAGTGGTTAAATAATTAGAACTAGAGCATTCCCATCTATTTCTGTGCTTTAAATTTCCAGCTATTGTGCCTTCAAAATACAGTCTGTGACTGGGTCAGTCAGGCAGACCAGACTAACAGTGTGCATATCCATAGTGCACCAGTCACACTTTACTGAACGTGGGGGACAAGGCAGAATAAGGCTGTCTTTTAAGTGGGCAGCCCAGGCTTCATCACTGAAGTGCAAAGAGTGTGAGAGCTAGAGCTCCAGAACCTGAGGGAAGAGTTGGGCTTGGGGCTAAACTGCATGGGAAAGGAGTTTGCATTTCTGGGCATTTCAGGAACTCACCTGCTGCAGGAGTGATCAGTCTTGCCTGTTCCTTCAGTGTCTGGGTATCAGGCTGCCTGGAGGGCTCAGGTCACACAGGAAAAGATGCTTTGCACCGAAGCATCTGTAACTGTGTGTTCTACTGCTCTCATGGAGCTTATAAGGAAAGTCTTGGTGTGCTCATACAAAGAAGAGGGGGGAAAGGAGGTAAGAAAGAGGGTCTCACAGAAATCTGGAGTTTTCTTTTTATCTTCAGGATATGTATGAAAGCAGGAACTGGTTGTCAGCAAGTGCTGTGGATTTACCTGGTTTAACTGCTTTGGAAATAGCTACAAGAAACCTGTGTGTGTGTCTGTTATTAACAAACTTAATTAGAATCTGGCATTGATAATGTTACTGACATTGTAGCATTTCCCAACCCTGTCCTATACTTCAATCATCTATTCTAGAATTAAAAATTACTCTTCAAAGGGCAGGTGTCTATGTCCAGGGTGCAAAGGGTACACTGTAATTTGTACCCTATGTGCTTAGAATCTAGACAAGCATTAAGGTGCAGGAGGATGTTTTATAGGTAAGTTAAGAGTTGTGGTGCTCTGTGTAACAGCAAGGAGAAAGCACGATAGAATCTGTGGATGCTCCGTGCTTATCTGTGAGCAGTTTTCTCTTGTTCAAAAGCTCCCGAAAGTGGATGGAGCACTCCACTGAGATAACAGCGAGTTACAGTCCACGGTGGGGTTCTAATCTAGAACAGATCGCGGTGCAGACTGTCTGCAGGGCAGAATACAAAGCTCCCGGGCGGGTGCCGCCTCTCGCAGGTCGCATGCTTCAGGGAAGCCGGGGCCGGGCGCTGCCGCCGCCCGCCCGCTCTCCCGGCGGGGGGATCCCGCTGGAGGGCGCCCGGCCCGCGCCCGCCGCCCCCGCCGCGGGCAGCGCCGCTGCCGCCCCGGAGCGGGCACCGGAGCGGGGCCGTCCCGGCAGCAGCCTGCGCTCCGGAGTGGCTCTCGCAGCGCCCCGCCCGTGCAGCACGGCCGGGACCCCGAGGGGCGCGGGGTCCGCGGGCGGGGATGGGGCCGGGGGGAGCGGTCCCCGCGGGGGGCCGGGCAGCGGGGGTGGGATCTGCTCCGCGTAATCCCCCATGGGGGGCGGCTGGCCGCGCTCGGAGCATCCCCCCTTCCCCAGCGCGGGGGGAGGCGGCGGGGGAGCCGCCACCCCCCGCTTCCTCCGTTTAAGACCCGGGCTAGCGGGGCGAGCGCAGGAGAGCGGCCGCTCCGCAGCTCCGGCCCCACGCCCGCGGCGCGCACGGGGCGGCGCTGGATGCGCCGGCGGCGGGAGGCGGGCGGCAGCCGAGCGGGACCCCGCGCAGCGGCGCGGAGCGCGGCGCGATGAGCGCGGGCAGCGGCAGCGGCGCCGCCGGCGCGGCGGGCACCGCCACCTCCGCGCTGTGCCTGCTGCTCTCGCTCACCGCCGTGGCCGTGTGCCTGCTGCTGGGCGCCAAGACGGCGGAGCTGCAGGGCCGGCTGGCCGCGCTGGAGGAGCGGGGCGCCGCCGGGCACGGGCCGCTGCTGGACGCGCTGCAGCCCCGCGTGGAGCAGCTGTTCCGCGAGGTGAGTGAGAGGCGGCGCGGGCGGCCCCGCGGCCCCGCGGTGGGCGCGCAGGACCGGCCGCTCCCCAGAGCGGCGACAGGATCGGGGAAGGCGCTCTGGCCCCGCTCCGCCGCGGGGTTTGCTCAATGTGTCACCGGCTTCTCATCCTCTGTGAGAAAACTCACTCCTTTCTACCAAACTTTCCCCTTTCTGCTGCCGTTCCCGTTAATCAGGCGTAGGGCGAGGCGTGGCAGAGCCCACTTTGATAAAAAGAGAAAACGCCCCAGGTGAAGGGCCGGCAGCCGCAAGTTAGAGGACGTGCGACTTTGCCCCTTATTCTATTCACTGACACAGGTAACCCGAGTATTTTAACTATTTGTCTTGGGATTTAATGTACCGCAATTTCTTTGTTAGAAATTATGAACATGATTCCCGCTATCTGGACTCTCTGTCACAGAGCATTGTGGTCTGGCAGTGCAGAACTGATTTATGGCAGGCAGAGGAGACCCACCACTTGTTACTTCACTTTCAGTCCTGGGGTTTTCTGAAATTATTCAATAAATATTTCTGTGCTGAACAATTCCTCCTACTTGGAGAACTGTTATCCACACTGATGCCGTTCTCAGTGCCTAACTGAACCAAATCTTGGGAGAAGTTACACTTTATCCCAGGGTTATCTTTTTCCTGATTCTGGTGTTTAGGTTTGGGGCTTTTTACAGGCAAGGGGGACGTGAAGGGCTCCATCACTCATAGGAAATGCTTGAAGATCCCACTGTTGGTTTGCTGGATTTGTATAAACAGTAGTTCATAAAGTTCAGTGAGATTCAACACGGCTTGTGGGGCTGCTGAAGGGCACCCCTGAGTGATCAGTTCTGACATCTGGGGAAGGTTTTACACTGGGATTTTATTAATGGCCTGACTGCGGTGCAAAACATGCATTAAAATCATGACAGCCACGAAGCCTAAATCATGCAAAAATGTGTTTGTATGTGGAGCTCTGTGAAAGCTCTGGGGCTGTGAGCAGGGATGGAGGCAGCGCTGGGGGCATGGGGAGACAATTCCTCATGCAGTGTGTTGCTGCTGGAGCTAGGGTGAGGGTATTGCTGGCACCACCACAGCATGTCCTTTTGCCTGGAAACTTTTTTGCATTGATGTGCCTTGATAAAAGTGAAATGTTAAAATATTTTTGTGAAAGCCCTGAATACCAGACCGGGGGGTGCCTGTGAGGCGTAGTCACAGCCTCTAGTTAATGTCTGTTCTCCAGGCAGGAATTAGCCTGCCCTTGTGGCAGTGGTTCTGTTCCAATTACCCCAATAAATGTGCTTAGCAATGGGAATGGTTTCTGTGGCACTGCCTAAGATCATGTGCAACCTCTTGCTGAGATTTAGTTAAGTGCGGAAAGCTTGTTTTGTACTGGGAATGCTCAGATGGAGTTTGTACAGGGGAAAATAAAGAAAAACCACATAATTGGGTTTCTAATGGAAGAGTGAGCTTGTTGAAACATTAAGTATGACCAAACTTTTGTCAATGCTAAAGCAAATTTTGAATCAAGCAACAAATTTGAAGAATCCATAGTAGTAATTGCACTATCTATTAATGGTCATTTTAAATGAACCTCTGAATTTATGCTAAAGTTTCAGAATGTGTTTCTTGCCCAAACTCTGTTACATAAGACCTCTCACTTGTCAAGCAACTACTGCCCTTTCTGTGCTTGAAAGTTTCTGGAGAGCAAGAGAGTATTTCCATCCTCATGAACATCAACTGATGCCTGGGGTCAGTTTTTTTTTTTTTTTGTTAAATTCTGTGTTGGTCCTCCTTTGAAGTTTACCACAGTATTTCAGAAGTGAAACCGAAGCTCCATACGCTCTGTGCACGACCCAGCATTCTTTGTTCTCTGCCATGACCCAAAAAGCTTTACTCCATGTACCAGTGGAGGAGTTTGCTGGCATAATTTATGGCAGAGCTGTGTATAGAGAGCAGCAAATACAGCACCAACACACTGGCTCTGTTCCTTTTAGTGCTGTTTAAATGTCTGGCAAATAAAAGAGGATAGGAAATAATAAAGGAAGGATAAGTGTGTAGTTAAGGTAATGAAAGCCAGTTTGGACAACAAGGATTTAGTTCCTGGCCCTGTGACAGGCATCCGTGTAACTCTGGAGAAATTGCTGATTTGCCTGTGGCAGGACCTTGCCCTTCCCTTGGTTTGTCCCATTAGTGGGACGTGCTGCAGGCTCCTGCTTTGATGCCCTCTGGAACATTGCCAACAGCACGGTCCAGACGTGGCAGCATCTCCACTTGCTCTGTGTCAAAAACCCCAACTCCAAGTGTGTAGTTTTCACACTGGAGGGAAAATATTAACAGGAGGATTATAGAAACATCCAGTTGTTGTAAACAGAGCTGGATCATTTTGTTCACAAAGGATTTATTGTCCGCAGTGTCCAGATTAATCAGTTTCATGACAAGAACAATTCAATGGGAGAACAGAGGATTCGCTCCAGGATTCAGATCTCCTCTGCTGTTCCCAGTGATGCTTATTGAACTAAAAATGTGGGAGAGCTTGTTTTCATTTCCTCGAGCATCTTCATCATCCAAATTACTTTAAAAGTAAACAGATAGAACTTGAGCAACTCTGTAACATTTAGACTTCAGGTGGCTGTCAGAAAAATCTTCTTAGATGTTTTTTTTGCCACATTTTCTTAAGGAAATTGCAACTTTCTCAGGGAAAGCCTATGTTTTGCAGAAGGCAGCTGGATCGTTCTGGTATTTTTTCTTCTCTTAGGACAGCTTCTCTGTCAGGTGCTATGAAACCATCTTGATATTTTCAGGACCTCTTAGTGTCACGTCCAAGCAGATAGAGGAAGCATAGGATTTCAATGACAGATAAAACTATTTAATCCTCAGAATAAAAACAAAACAACCTAATTCACAGGTAGCCTAATTCCTGAATAGTCCACAGTGTTCAAATATTTAGAAAAGGACTGGGTCATCAGTTGCACAATATCAAGTCTTAGCACCCTAAACTTTGAATAAGCACTTTGAATTTTTTGTCTTTGAAATGTAGGGACTCCAGTTATCAGATTATTGGCTTGTCTTTTGGCAAGTACTTTAGGTAGGACAGGGCATTCCTGGAGGACTGAGAGAGGGAAGATTGTGGGTGAAGATGAGCTGCTCACACCCTTGCTGGGCTGTCCCAGGCAGGGAGTTTGCTGAGCTAATGCAATGTACCTGTCATCAGGCTCATTAACTTGGGTTGGCAGTGGGCTCAATGCAGGCACCAACAGCCTCCTTGGCTTAGGGAGCAGCCAGAGTGTGCACACATCTGCCTGCAATACGCCACGTACACAGGGCTCTAGTTTTGGGGATTTTTGTGTCCTAGTTATCCCATTGATGAGTTTTCACTTTGGGGATGGAAACACTGGGCTTTGGGTAGGCCTGAAGGTTGGTGAGCACTCCAGTCTTGACTGTCCTTTACTTCATCCCTCTGCTAAAGAAACCTCTAACACTCCACAGAGCATGAATTTTAAGTACAAACCAACCAAATCAGGTCAAGTTTGAACATGGGACTTGTAAAGGAGCTTAGGATGAATCTTGCCAATGGAGCTTTGCTCAAGGGACTTTGGGATGTGCAGAAGAGTCTGCCTTCTCTCTTGGTGGCCGTAGGCCGCCACTTGCTCAGAAACATTTAATATTTTTGTGCCACTGTAGCGTGGGACTTTATCCAAGGAGGTTGAACACCACAGGATGGAACCATTACCCCTCCCTGGAAGGAAGCTGGATGGTTTGGATGTTGGCATGTGTGCACAGTCCATGTTTAGGTACAATGTACTCTCTAAAGGGCTGTTCTCATTCCCTCTCCACACAGAAACTCGGCGAAGGACTCGCGAAGCTGCGGACGGCGCGAGAGGCCCCCCAGGACTGCGTGTGCCCCCCAGGTAGGTGCCAGGTACCAGCACAGCCCGGGGCCACCCACCCACCAGCTGCACCAGCCACCGAGCTCCTCCTCTCCTGCTTTACACGCTCCCTTCCATGGAGGAAAATGTCTTTAGAAGTGTTTTTCCCGAGCTGAAGCACTCCAATGTCTCCCAGTGCCTTGCTTTGGCCTGTTTACAGATCAAGGAGTTTGAGGTTTGGACAAAAGCGACATTTGGCTATAAGAATAAAAGAGTGAAGAACTCAACTGGGTTGTGAGTCCTGGGTGTTGGGCCAAAACAATTTAGAAGTAGTAACAAAATCACTGGGGCTTAATGCAAGTGTGATAATTAAAAGCTGCAGCTTGTCTGCCTTTTCGGAGGGCAGGATTTCTTTTGCTGTAGGAAAGCTGTCACCGATTGTTTAAATTTCCTCCCAGAGTTTAATGAACTTCTAAAACTGTCAAAACTTCCTGTTCTGCTGTGGAAGTGCATGCTCCTTGGAAACAATAAACAGCTTAGATTAATTTCTAAAGGAACCTCATTTATAGAAATGTTCTGTGAAGTTCTCTGCTGTCACACTGAAGGGTGCGAGTAACTTTGAGCTGGGATGCCTTGAGCCTTTATTTTCTTTTTTCTTTTCACAAAAGTGGTGAAAGATGTGCAGTGCTTTGATGCGAGGGAATTCACAGGTGCCTTACAAGGACTTCCAAGCATCAGAGTTCCATTCTATTTTAAAGAAAATAAACAAACACTAAATGCTACATGAGGATGGCGGAGTAGGCAACAGGGCAGGGTCAATTTTCCCTGCCACCCTGGATAAGAACCCTACCAAAACACACAGTGTTAGTCCATACTCACAGGACAAAAAAAAAAAAAAAAAAAAAAAAAGCCTTTTTCCCCTGTGAGATTATGTTTAATCTCAGAAACATTTCACTAATGATGCTCTTAAATGTACTCACTGCTTTTCTGGTGGAAGGCTCCCTGTGTGCCTCACTGCCTGGTAACAAAACCCACCAGCTGAGAAACAAATCCTGCTTACTTTCAGCTCTTTGCAAGGTTGGTCAAATCAGATTTCTCTCTTATGATGCACAGACCCAACAAGTCCACCAACCTCATGGGACTCTGTGGCTGTGTCTTTCTCTGGTCTGGGCAAACAGGGCACTGCTGGTGTGCTTAAGTGGTCAAGAGGTTTTTCCTTTGCTCTGTGGAAAGCAATTGGGATTGAAGAGGCTTCTTTTGTCCAGGAAAGTCCCAATTCTGTTCCGGGTCACTGGGTTGTTGGTTGCTGTGTTTGGGAGATGGGGGAAGAGAGGAAGGGGAAGGTTTTCCCACGTGCTGCTGCAATGCTCGTTACAGTCATTAGTAACAAGCAAAGTAATTTGTGAGCTGAGGGAAGGAGAAGTGATCTCCTGGTGGGTAGGAAATGTCCCATCGGTGGCTGCTCCTGGCCACCACTGCAGGGAGCTGATGTGGGGATGTGCTGCTGACTGTCCTGAAGCCTTTTGGCTGCTTTTGAGCAAATCAAAGACACGTTCAGCTATGTTTCATCCTTTCCTCTTTCTCCTGAAGAAGGCTGAATTGCCTCCTGCTCTGTAGTTGACGAGCTTGGTCTGGAAACATCTGAGAGCTTGTGGCCCTCACTGGCATTCACTGCTGAGCTACACCGGGCTGCAAACCAACAACTAAGCTTCAATTTGCCTCTGAACTGAAAAAGCAGCCCCCGGTGAAAGGACATTTTCCTTGTGGAGGGGATGGGGAGATGCTGCCAGCCCTACTCCTACTTCCCATGGGCAGCTGGTGGGTATTCTGTACGCCTGGGCGGCTTTCCTCTGCCAATAACCCTGCTAAGCTTAAGGACTCCTCGTTATGACTGGATTTAAAGCCAGCTGGGGAGAGAGAGCGGCGGATGAGGATGCTCTCTGCCTTGCCATGCAGGCGTGCTCCCTCCCTCGGTGCCCTTTGGGGAACACGGGAGGCGCTGCCCCACCGAGCCACCCGTGGGCAGCGGCAGGAGCAAGCGCAGGCTCAGAGCTGGCCGTGCCAGCTGGGCTTGTCTTAAGCAAGCCCTGATTTTTCCTAGAAATGAATCAATCTGGGGCTTGTTTGGTTTGGATTTGAGGGGGTGGGGGGTTGTTTTTAGGGCACTGTTTTGACACAATTGACTTGCTACACATTCAAAGCAGTTTGGAACAAGATAAAAACGACCCACTTAAAAGTTAGAGGGTCAAGTTATTCTAACTACAGTGAAATCCTAACTTGTAAAACAAAGACAAAAGACAAACACCCTTCCCTCTCAGAAAACCCCAACCCAAACGGACCCGTTTTGTGCTCGGGGGCAGTCACCTGTGCGGCTGTAGGGCACGGCTGGCTCGGTTCTGGGACGGGACCCTGGGTTTGCGGCTGCGGGGACCGGCGGCCGGCAGAGGGGGCCCGGCCGTTCCGCCGGGCCGCGGACAGATCCGAGCGGCAAAGAAATCATAGAACTCCCTTAAAATCACCTGGTCCAACTGCCCCGCAGCGAGCAGGACATCTCCAGCAAGATCAGGTTTCTTGGAGTTCTCTCCAACCTGACCTTGGAAGTAATAACAATATGGGAAAAAAAAGATTATTGAAAGAATGTATTTTTAAAAGCTTAAAAATGTAACTTTTCTGTCTCTAATGCTGAGCATGCTGCAAAAAGTTGCCTCTGCAGTTGCTCTGCGCATCTGTGTACTGCTTTGAGTTGACTTGTTTTGCTTTATTCAGTCAACCGAGGCGATGCGGGGGAGGATGACAACAACTTTGTGTCACTTTGAGTCCTTTGTGGTTCGGGCATTTTTGTGGCTGAGGGAGAGGAGAGCATCCTTGGGGGGGTTGAGGCAGCTGGACTGAGTGTGGGTCGGGCTCGGGAACGCTGTGACAGGCTGGTGACCCCACTCTGGGGCCAAACATGGTCTTTGAGTCCCCTCAGCTATTTGGGACGGGGCGGCAGCGGTTGGATGCTGCGGGCGCCGGGCAGGGCCAGGACAGGCTGTCCCCATATGTTGTGTTGCAGGAAAACAGCAGCTTAATATTGTGTTATTGTCATTCCCTAAGCCAGGCCTGTAATACTTTGAAGAGAGGCCCCTGGTCCCCTTGTGTTCAGCCTTTCTCTGGTGGGATCCTCACAAAGCTTTTGCTGCAGGATGAAACGCAGCAGGTGCAGGAGCACTGGTGTATATGGCATTTGGGACAGCCTGCTGATGAGCACGGGGAGGTGGGTTGAAGGCAAGACTAAAACTTCACACTGGTAAACAATTTGTTTATCAGTTGTGTGGGCTCTGGCTGCCTTCTCATAAATATGCTATTAAGGCTTATTTTTTAATTTTCCCACCTTGTAATTTTAACACTCTTTGAAAACCTCAGGTGCAAAAAGCTCTTGTTAACGGCGGTATTTGCAGTGCCAAAAGTCTTCAAGCTCAGTGAGAACAGGTCCCTCGAGAGCTCAAGGTGGTGGATGCACTGTGCTAGAGCCTGAGAGCAAATGTTTCCTCAAATCCAGTAAAAAAAGGCTTAAACCAGCCCCCATCCACAGAGCATGCCTTGCCCAGCAGCCCGTCCTTGCTGAATTGTGGGCTGAGGGTGTGAAGAGCTCCAGCTCTGCTGGCTGCTCTTGCACTGCGTATTTCTACATATGCATTGTGTTTCCATGTGCCTTTCTATTTAACAGTACCTCTGGAGCCTTAACTCCAAATTTCCTGACCATTGGATGATGCATATCCCTGCTTTCATCTTGAATTCACGCTGAGACGGTGTCGTATGCTTTTGAACGTATGGATATATTACAAAACAGCGTTAAATGTTCAGTGTAGTAATCTGATGTTCCAGCTAATATGTGACAAATATTTCCCAATAATGGCTTGGCAGCAGCAGGAGTGCAGTGGTGCTGCAGCCGGCAGGACGGCGGATTGCTCCATTTCCCTGCAATTCAAACCATGTGTACTGGGGGAAGCTGAGCATTTCAAACCCTCTCCACCTCTGCAGACTCAGCAGCTCCAGAGGCTCTCTGGCTTAGATTATTTATAGAATTTAAAATTTTTTTATTATTACTTTTAAAATATTTACCCTAACTTCATACCCAGGGATCAGCGTTCTCCAGCATGTCCTGGAAGGCTGGTGTGGCACTTTTTGTGATTTCCAGTGACTTGAAATATCTGCCTGACTTTTACTGGTGTAGATGTTGCCTTCAAGTGTCACTCGCTATCTGCCTCCTCCTGGTGTTGTCTCCCCAGGTAATTAGCACAACAGAATTTCCCTAATTGCTGGAGATCAAGGGGGAGAGGGCTCTTCTGGCTTTGTAGTCCTGACAAATGGCAGATGTTTTCCAGGAGGCCAAATGGGATGCACCCAGCTCTGCTAATTCTGGCTCTTTGTTTCGTTCTCTCCATGATAGCAGCTCTGTTATTGCATCTTCGGGATCTGGGCCTGTAGTGCCACATTTCTGAGTCCTTCAGGGTAGTTCAATAGATACTGAAAGATATCAACTATAAGCAAGTATCATTTTTTTTCTTCTTAAATTAGCAGTGATCTCTGCTTTTCTGAGTTGCTTTGCTTCTACTGACCTTAAACCTCTGAGGTATTCCTTACACTTACCTCAAGATACCCTTTTCTGCTTACTGAAGCCATGAAAACTTAGTATTTTCCTGTAATTTCTATGATAGAGTGAGACAAAGAGCTTTACAAATAATTCAAGTTTTAAGATGTCTTCTGAATCCCCCTTTGCCTCAGTTTTCTGTACCCTGCCAGTCACTTCACTTCAGCAGGGTTTGCTTTCTCCATCTGCCTTTGCCCGCAGGAGGCTGGGACATTGGAATTACGGATTAGTGTAAACAGGATTTTTTTGGTGCTAAACTTACAAATGCAATCAGAGCTCTCTCCTGCACAGAAAAGGCTGTGCCAGGATTTTAAAAAATGAGCCAGAAGCCAAGTGTTAAAGCATCTAAATAACAAAGAACAACTGGCTGGGAAGGACTTCAGGCAAATGGTGCCATTTAAATGCAGGC